AAATTTCAACTTTATTGCTTTCATATGGTTTTATGTAGGTGATAAATTTAAAGATATGTTTTCATAAGGGTCAGTTCATTTATCACGTGATATCTTTTCAGCATATTTTAATCCCCCTCCTCTTCATGATATATAGTGAGGCTTAAGACTACCTCACCCCCTCGAGCCGAATCACGTGTATTTTTAGTACCCACAATAAAGCAAAAATTTTTGACGCTTCTTTTCGGGTTAGTGGGTAATCAACGAAAAAAAAAATACGAAAAATAAGTTCTTTTAACGAACCCCGTCCTCCCCCTTTCGAGCCACTCGTGGTTAATGGACGGCCCCTAAATGAAACCTAGCTAGAGCGCAGCAAGTTACATAGCACTATATGCAATAAAAAAAAACTTTAAAAAATAGAACCGATTTCAAATTAAAAAAAGTAATAAACAATACTCATAATTTTTTATAACTTATTTATTCGGATAAAAAGACCGCCACTTGGTATTAAGCTTTTGATGAAATTATGAAAATATTGGTCATATTCATAAGTAAAACAGACGGAACCAAGATTTTAAATTTAGTTCAAAACTTCGTATGAATATTTGATTTACAGAAGAGTTCCCTTGGCGAAAAAGTTTGAGAACATATGCAAAGAAGAATAAGGAAGTCACGGGGACAGAAGATGCAACATACAGAAAGAAACTGTTCCACAGATATCACTGAAAATTGGCTTTAAGCCCATTACCCTTCACCTTGCACTCTCGAAGATGGGTTGGGCAGTTCCAAAATTAATTTTTGGCAGCAAATTATCTGACGTTCAAGTTTTTTTTTGTTTTTCCTTCTGTCACTTATTGGCGTTGGAATTATTTAGTAGGTGTTGATGACGGACAGGTCTTCAGGCGCCTAAGTCAAGCGCCGACAGAAACTTTACGTCATCAATATATTCACGTGCTTAAATAAAATAACCTTCAAATCTAAAATAAAGGTGTACATAAGCCATATTGTAAGCAACGCAAAACATTTTTTTTATTATGTTCTGAGATGTTGAATTAGCAAAGTGGAAAAGTAATGGAATTGATGAAAATTTTTCTAAGAAACAAAACTTTTTTTGAGTTGTAGACTATTATTATTATATGTATCTTAAAGTCAAATTATTTGACTAAGTATGCGATCATAGCCTAATCTAAAATGTTAATAAGATTTTTTAAATGTCTAATTTGATAAGGGAATTCATAATAATATAAAATACGCAGTTTATCAGGTTTTCTACACACACCTTGCTAATAAACACGTTGAAAATTAGCATCAAACTTGATTTAATTCAAAATAATGTCACCAAGCGAACAAAATACTCGTATTTATTGTACTGTTACCTACGTAATATGATTATATCTTTAATACTCGTAATATAAATGTGATAAGAAACTCTTATAAAATGACAAAGAGGAGATTATAATACAAGTATGACAGAAATAAATAGACAGGATGTTTGTTGGTATGCTTTAGCAAACGTTAAATGTAGTGGAAATGTTATGTATAGGAAATTGTTATGTATATTCTATACTAATATTATAAAGAGGTAATATGGGATTGTATGTTTGCTGGCAATGGCAAAGGATCAGCTGGACTCAACAGGAAGTTACATCAATAATAATTCCTCAGGTTCGCATAATAATTCTGTTTATTGTGGAAAGACTCTATTGAAAACCGAATTTATAATAAAACAGTAACCTACTTCAAAATACACAAAAAAATCTTCTTAATTACTTCGAAAAAGTTCTACAAATTGCAATGCATTTGAATTCTAATAAAAATTGACTAGCCACGCTTTTATTTGACTTCAAATGAAGTTTCTAGAATGTGTTTAAAACCTTTGTAGATATAAAGAGTTTTCTTTTTTTTAAGGCAAACAATTATTGGAGATTTATGATATTGGCCACAACTCATGATACTACTTAGTTTCATATAATAACATACATTTACAAATAGAGCTGTAATTTTCAAGCCTATTAGCTTCTAAATCTTAACAATAAATCTAAATAACAATTTACGTTCTTTTGTTTAAAACTAATTTTAAGTTTTCACGTTACGTTACAAACGAGCGAGGATATGTTGTCGTCATAACCACAAAAAACAGACCTAGTGCGAGTCAGGGTACGAACTCTAACTTGAAATAGTGCATGTAGAGTAGACCCTGAAAATGTGACGTCACAACCTTACGTCGCACCCATACCGATAGATCCGCACTTGCCAATAAAAACCAATATACTTCACAGTTTATTCTAATACATATCCCTAAAAAGTTGACCGACATAGAATGCCTAAAGCATTGATTCCTTTGTAGCATGAAATAAGAAAGTAGCTAATAGAATTAAATTTTTTATAACGCTTCATTAGCACAACAAAAACGGTGATTAATGCACTTATGTCATATAATTACATAATCACAATTCGATATTGCGTCGACTTAATTAATGTTGTTGCTAATTTATTTATTTACTTGACACTTTATAAGACTTTACACTTATTAAGATCTATCTTTTGTAAATAGTACACATACACATTGTACACTAGCCGGCCATTACAGCGATGTCTTCCAGGCAACCTATTTACAAAAGATAGATCTTACAAATCACCAGAAATAGAGGGCTGTGTGCATAATTAGAAACACAAAAAAAACGTAATATTAAAAAAAACATACATTCATAATATAATAATAGAAAACGAGGAACAAATAGATACTACTTGAGTGATACTAGCCAGAAACAATAGAAGGATCACGCTCGCCCTTTTATTCTCAACTTTAGTTTTGAAAGTGTCTAGTAACTGAACTTTTCTTATAGCCTCAGGTAGAGAAGGTAAGGGATGTCCAATAAAACCTCGTTAGGTTCTGACGGGTGGGAGGGAAGTCGAAGACTGTCAGATGAGCAAAGGGGAAGCTAGTGAGTGGCATACAAGTATTTAAAACACTCTTTAATCTTTTTATAAATATAATATAGAAGAATTATGTGGTTTATTTAAACTACTTATTTTCTAAGTCACGGAAGTTTTTAGTTTTACAATATAAGCTTTCATTCTTTGATTTATAAAGAGGAAAGATTTGATGGTTACTTTGTTAGCAACGAATAGATTCCTGCTCTGGACTATATTTTAAAAACTCTTTCACCTACAGCAAACTACATCATACGTGGTTGATATATGCTTTAATTTAAGCGTGTGAAGTCGCGGCAAATCAGCTAGTTCTAATATAATTCTTCCGTATGGAAAATATTGTATGGAAACAAAAAAAAAATATAATTTTCAAAATTTTCACGTAACAACGAGTATAAAATATTTGTTTTTTCATAATTAGTTTAAGTAATATTATAAATATAAAAAGTATAAAAGTGTTGTCATCGGTAATAATATATAAAACACTGCCAAAAAAAATAATATCTATTTATTTTTATTTACTGCCAACACCCGTATTATGAGTTTTCACAGGTATGAGTGACTTTTCATTTAAACAAGTTTAGTTTTTTTTTTAGAATTTAGAATTTTTGCATTCACAGTGCTACTCTCAAAAATATTCTTAATGCAAAATGTTAAAAAAAATATTTTCATTTTCAATCCGGGCGATTGCTCTAACCACTGAGCTACCCAGTACCTAACCGGGGTGAAGAATTTTTCAAGCACTTGTTACTTTTTAGCTACTAACGTATCTGTGCCCACCCTAGCATTAGTACCTGTATTGTTAATCTATTATTAATAATTATGCGTGAGCAATAAAGTGTATCTATCTATCTATATCTATCTTCATCAATGTTCAGGCAATCCACCCAAACAGCCGAAAGACATATTTTTACAAATATATACAGTGGAGGAGTGTAAATATATTTAAGTATTTTATTACATGGCCATCCATTAGGAAGACCTGAGTCCATAAGTAATGGTTTAATTAGTAAAGAGACAATAGAATTAGCACCCATACGATACAAAAGAATAGACGCTTAATTTTTAAGTTTAGGTATTTGAAACTAATTTAAATATGTAAACATCGGTGACTTCTGTAGCCGAGTGGCTCACTGTTTTCTGGCGTTCCAGATTTGTTTCCCAGTTGGGTCCATACTAAAAAATCTGTATATTCCCGAGTCTAGGACAGTATTAAACGTTTCAGAGTTCCACAAAAGAAAACCTACAACTATTTAGTTTGCGATTTATCTGTGTGGTTTCGTCTAATATTTATTTATTAAACATTCAGCTGTTAGACAATGTTACCGGTAGTAATTAATCACACCTTACACAATTTATTACCTGACAATAATAAAACTATGATTCGTAAATTAAAAAAAAATAACATTCTCGTGTACGTCTGTAGTCAATTATTCTCAATGACAGATTGGAATCTGTCAAACGTTATTAAAAAAATTAAGCCATAAACAAATAAATAATTTCATTCGCTTGTTTGTTGGAGGGAAATTTTATTAATCGTTCGACTTGACCGCGAGCAACATAATTACAATATAATTAAGATAAATTTGTGTTATTGTTGTGTACTAATTTTTGTTTTGTATTGATTTTTCTTCTCTCATATCAATAAGTAGCGTTGTTTGATAATTAAATATTTATATGTTTATAATTATTTAGACTATATCTATGTCAATATCCCGCAGCATATAAATAACTATTGAAATCTGTTAAATAACCAACAAAAGTAAAAATTATAAATAATCGTTTTGATTATAATCGCCTTGTTGAAGACTGACGTAAGAAAAAATATTTACATGATTTCGAATAATGTTCTTCTTTTCGTTTAGAATTTATCAATATACACCCGAATTAATAGTTTAATTTAGAGAAAATAATATTTTTCTAATACTGATTACTTGCTTAATAAGTGCCTTGTTAGGTATATCAAGTACAATGAGCTTACACCAATAATTAGGGTATTAAAAAGCTTTCAAAATTCATAATTATTACATAAAATGCTATTCTAATTCAATAAAAATAAATAAGCCGAATTCATTATGCAAACTTACTTTTCATCTGATTGTAAAGTCATCTTTTTAATAATTTGATGCTCGTAACACAATATCACAGTTTATATTTACTTAAAACTACTATCACATATTAAAAAAACACTTTTTTTAAAGTTGTACTAATTTATATGCTCCGCGTCATTATTTGTAAACAATAATATATGTGTCCGCGCGTCTCTCTGTTGCGATGTACGTGCGTGTACTGGCGTTGAGCAAGCGGCATGATAAAAAAATTCAATAAGGTAATGTCATCCCGTCTTCTTGCACGAGATAATGATAATTTTATGCACATACAAACAAACTTACTAAACGCTAATGATAATTTTATTAGTAACCATGGAGTAAAGGGTACAACATATTATATACAAGATCATAAATAATAAGAGATTATAGAGAGAATTTTCCTACACAATACACAAATACATAAGTAGTATATCGCTAATGCGACCCGCATATGATGTACCTTACCTTCCTATACCTTCCCATTGTAATGGAATGGGATATTACCATTAACAATAATTATTGGTCCATGCCGAAGGTGAAGGAATTTTCATGATCGAATCAATATTTTCGAAGATTAACCTTGACAAACTTAAATAATTTATCCCTTTATAATATTATTAGAGATTCAACAATGTATTTAAACTTTAATTATTCAACAATACAGGTTTACGTAATTTTCATATTTATGAAAATTTTATGTTTTTTCTGGTGAATTTCTCACGCATTTGCAAAATTTGCGTCGCTTATTTCGTCGGATAATTCGAACTTAATATCATAAGAGAAAAGAAGTGGATTATATCATAGGAAGATTTTGCGAATACATAGTAATGAGTCCCTTATTAAGTCCGTATTTAATTATAAAATATTTATGTTTATTCTTCTACTTATAGTTTAAATAAATGTATGCCTACCTATAATTATTTAATACTTTAATATTTCCAGTGTCGATTATTTTCAAATACCTAACATAAATATGTGTATGAATCATTTTATATTTTTTGGAATTGAAATGTTTCTAAAAAATCCGTTGATATTGAAAGATATCAATACAGTAATTTATTATTTACTTGATATTTTTGTATAAAAGGCTGTGACTTCATTATGCAAACTTTCACCATTCGTGGTTACCCAAGGGTTCCTCAGGTTGGGGGGTAGGATTTCACAATCTGACCTACCATACTTTCATAATACAAAACACCCGTTTTTATTACCGAAAAATTGCCATACTATAAATTTAATAATCGAATATTTACACAAACTGTATTTACACACAGGTCCCTGTAATTTACATGGCATTATTTGTAAAAAATATTGGACTGTCAATGCGCGTAACAAAATTCGATTCGTGTTATTAAAGTTCATTCAATGCTTTAAGTTCCAACCATCCGTGATACAACCAATGATGGGAATGTTACACGCACCTAGATTAATACCGAATAAGGTTTTTAGGCAAAAATATATTATCTAATTATTGTTAATGAATTGTGATATAATATTTTATCTACGTATGTGTAATAATATTAGTTGAATAGCGTGCACAGCTGTTATCGGTTATAATTGACATAATTATCACTTCCTATTAATGTCTTATTGTAGGGATACCTATGGACAGTAACCCACCACACGTGTGCGTATCGGTGAGTTATCGACTGCAAATGCAAGCAGAGAGGAACCCGACATAAGAATTTGTTGGTCACCCAACCTCTAAACTTTCGCATCTCAGACCAAAAGTTCTAACCACAATGCCAACGCGGAGACCAGTATTAGCTTTAAATTGATTTGTTTATAAATTACGTCACAAATCCTATTAATATTATTAATGTGAAAGTTTTGTTTGTCTGGATCTTTGTCTGTCAATCACACCGAAACTACTGATTTTTATGAAATTATGTATACAGATAAGGTATTGACTGACTTAGATAATAGGATACTTTTTATCCCACTAAATAGTTCCCTTGGGACCTCGCGGGCGCAGCCACTGGCATTAAGCTAATAAATAAATAAAATTATATGAATCTTCAGATCAAAACAAAACATAGTACAAAAGTCGAAAACAGACTATAAATTCTGCATTATGGAAGTGACATTGTCATTATCGTCGACTTTATCGTTTATAATTAATAACGCCCACAATTATAATATTAGTCTGCAGTCGTGAATCAAGTTAGCGTCTATCAGAAGTAGGGTTGCCAACCGAACTATAACATAATATTGTAGCGCGTAGCATTAACCACGTTAAGTCCAATCCGCATTGAATCATCGTAGAGGTTCATGGCCCATCCTCCTTAACCATCCATAAGAAAGGCCCGAGCTCCTGCAGTGTGGACGTAAGAAGGGTTAGTGATAATGACTATATTTTGGGCCTGTTCTGTACTACTGTTGGAGAAATGTATAGTAAACAAAAATAATATACTATCAGAAACATAACATCTACAATAATGCATAGGTAAGTCTCACAACGCAATTCTTCTGCCGTAAAAAGTTATGAAATCCACGTAAACCAAGTCCTTTTTTTCTTTTCGGGTAATTATATCATGAGCGTCAGTTACGGGCATCAAAGATCACTCACTTTCTGCCTCTATGGACTTTTTAAAAAGGTGATATGGTATTGGTTTTCGATAAATCATAAAATAAACTTGCTGCGTATCTTACAATAAGTCTATTATATTCAGAATACAACCAAAGTTGACAATGATTCGATATAAACAGGTTAAAGATGTCGTTCTCGAAAGTGTTACATATACTTCATCATCATCATCAGCCCTTTAGATCTGGGGATCTAAAAGGCTCCATGGGCCCATGACCCTGCACTGGCCCAATACGGATTCATGGATATTAACAACTGCATATGCAGCCGGGACCAAGGGCTTAACGTGCCCTCCGTGACCGACCCTTGTGAAAGTTGCTTACAACAACGCTCGCGGGCCGTGGCGCTCATCCATTACGCCACCGAGCTACTCTACATATGCTTGACCGCATGTATCTACTTAGCCCTTGTCTCTTATGTATCGATTATTATACCCATGGATATATTACCGAAGCCAATTTGGTTCCGTTTGTTGGAAGTTCGATAGTCCACTCTGTACGCCACATAGATATATATGGTATGCATAATTTTGTACAAAAGTAAATAGCTTTTCCAAAGCCTTTTCTGTGATAATAGTTTCCTTATCACAGATTTTAATAATGTATACTTTATTTCCTCTTTGGTAAATGTTTGTAAAAATCTCTTAATGCTCTACAGTTATAAATAAAACGAAAATCTAAAAAATGTGGCAAATATCTCAAAATGTTAGAATTTTTCCTTACTTTATATGCAAAATTATAACAGTGTTCAAAATTTGGGGCCCGTGGGTAAGTCAGTAACAAAATTAAGGTATTTTAAAATTGCAATAATTCGTAAAATACTCGTTCAAATTCTATGGTCACTTGGTCACTGAAATTTTAGACTTCTAAGGTGCGCCGCGGCACCCCCTGAGACGGCGGTGCCCGTGTGCATTGCACACCCTGCACTATAGGTTAAGCCCCTGTGGTTTTTTTTATTTGCACTCGTAATTTTCTGTGAAAAGTTGTAGAAAAATATGTCTTCCTGCGTGTTTAAACAATGCACAAATTCCACATTGACAATGAGAAAGCAAACAATATATAATTTCATGCGTAAGTACTGAACTTACCCTTTTTTGTTTTAATTAAAAATAATAAAACGTCATTGAATGCAATTATTTTTTCGTGCATCTTGTTCTCACGTGATCAGCAGTTGACACGTAAAGCTATGCATGTTCATCTCGTTCTAAGATTCTGATAGGGAGATAACTTTTTTTTTATTTCTTAGCGCTTTTTATTGTTGTATTATAATGTTACGCTACCATAATAAAATTTACGCTGTTTTAAAACGCAATAATGAACGGGTATGATCTGTCTAATAATAAAAGGTCATTGTACGGTCGTGCCCTTTTTACTTTTTTACTCGATTTGGCGAAAGCACTTCAGTGCCTTTAGATTTTCAACAAAAGAATCTAACAAATAAATAATTATTTTATAAAGACGCATTAACATAACATTAAATGCGACAACTCAGATATAGCATATGTAAACGTCGGTACTTCTTTATGCTTACTTCTTTATTTTAAAAGCTTATCTTTTTAAATACTGTGCTTTGCTGAAGAAATATTGCAACCCTAATCAGAGGCGGCACGTGATCTCTGATATGACGATACTAATGGGAAATTGGACGATCATGACTCCTTTGTTACCTAACTATAATGTCAATTCTATCTCGTGACATAAACTTGATTTACAAAAATATTTATTTTACAATTTCTTGGCGACAAATAAAGTAATGGAAAATATTCTACGTTCGCAAACGCATGAATGTGATAAATATATCGGTAGATTTCTTTGTTTCGCGACACGACTTTCGTGCTGAATTCTTGGTGAGGTCTTCTGTCATGTACTGCGTTTATCTAGGACCCAATTAATGTTATACCTATTTAGTTTCGGTTATGTAGGAGCTTTGTGTTTTTTTTTTCTCTTACCCTTCTCTCCAATTTTCGTACCTTAATTTATTTTTAAATTCAGTATCTTTCTGGTACTTTTATATGGTACCTATATCTACTAATAGTTTAAACACCTACTGACTTTAATTTAGTTCGGGAATATCTATGTCGGCACGAGCTTGCCCAGAAAAATCCTCTTCACTCTAAACTTATTAAAGTCAAAGTCAAAATAATCTTAATTCAAATAGACTTTTTAGAAGTACCTTTGAATAGTCCAATATTTTTTCCCTACCACTCGTTCAGGACGTCTTTTGGCTGATAAAAAGAACGAGCAAGAAACTCACCAGCTCTAATAGCAGTAATGATATTCACAAAAACCATGATATTACCAGAATACATTATAAATAGAGAGAAAAAAACTATAGTCTTATAATGATAACAAAATATTTTAATAACTAGCCGTGCCCGCGACTTCGTCTGCGTGGGAAGTATTTTGGTAGAATTATTTTTTTCCTATGAATGCAGACGAATCGAATAAGATCAATGGGCCATAACCCACTACGCGGGCTTAATGCGGATCGGTGGGTGTTAACGTTGCCGATGCAGCGAGGACTAACGGCTAAACGTGCATTATGCCAGTGTTGTGCACAGTGCTCAAGATAATAATGTTTTGGTCACTCATCCTGTAAACGGTCCTTACGAATG